GGGGGCGGGGTGCGACGGGGAGGGGCGGTCACACTCTCGCGTACGCGCTCCCGCCCCGCCCTGGCCCCCGCCGCGCCTAGGGCGCCCGCTGGGCCCTCACTCAGAGGAGCCGCCGCCCCCCGCTCTCTCGCTGTACCTCTGCTGCCTGCGCGCAGTGCTGCCGTGCTGCCAACGACCTCCCGAAAAGCCCGGCTGGAGAGCAGTTAGTGAGCTCTGCGCCCACCACGTCGACACCACGCGGGAGGACCTCCAGTGCGGCCGGGCCGTCCTGGCGTCGCGTCGGGTTGGCAGCACCGCGGCACCTGGCACGTGGTCATAACGCCCCCCGGGCTGCCAGCCCTGACCCCTTTCCTCCGGCGCCAAGGTGGGGCGGCGGGGCTTCCAATGCAAACGTCGAGGAGGGCGGCGCGACGGGAGCCAGCAGCAGCGGCAGCCGTGGCCGTATCTCTCGGCTTCGGCTTTGCCACGCTTCAAATGAGTGGCGCGCGCGCACGCGGCGGCGCATCGCACCGCGTCGCGCCGAGCGGGAGCTGTTTGGACAGCGAGGGTGGCGTCCGCAACACGGACCCGCCGCGCAGCAGGTGGGGGCGACGCTACGTGACATCCGCGGAGGCGGCCCGACAGACGGAGAGGACTATGTCGCGCGGTGTGTGCGCTTCTGTGCTTGTCGTGTGACGAGTGGAGTGAGCCTCTCTGTTTGCGCCGGAATGTCAGGAGTCACTCGTGCTGGTCACTCTGTCGGCGCCGCCGCTGGTGATGCCGCCACACAACGGCCGCCGCCGAGCACCACGGCCCCGGCCTCTCTCGCGGCGGGTACGCGGCTATGAATATACGATTGGAGGACGCGGCAGGCACGCGCCGACACCTCCTTAATGACCACGCACGCGTGCCCGGGGCGCTGCGGGTAGGCAGCCCGGCGTGCCTCGGCCGCGGCTCCCGTGGCTCCCCGAGGTGTTTTGCAACCGGAGCCGCGGCCGCCACGACGCCACGCGGTATCGATTTCCTCGGGCGGAGACTTATGACTGCCGGATCCGAAGGTGGCGGAGCTGCTGCAAGTCCGACGGGTGGTGTCTTACCTCGTGCGGGCGCGGCGTGGCGGGGCGGGTGACGCCTGCTGGAGGCCCCGACGACGCGGCGGGACGGACCTGGCGGCCTCAGCCGGGCTGCAGCAAGCGGCGGGGACACCGTGCGACTCGTGCGGTCGGTCCTTCGGGCCTTGTTGTTCTGAGCGCGGCCGCCCGGCCCGCCTGGCAAGTGGCGGAGCGGCGGCGGCGGTGCGGGGCGTGGCGCGGCGGCTGGGAGTGAGTGCGCGCTCCGCGAGCCCAACCCGGCCCCCACCCTGGAGCCCTTTGAGACCACCCGCACTGTCCGCGTGGGCGGCGACTCCAGCGGCGGCGCGCCCTCCGGAGCACGGACCCGGCGCCGGGGAGACGGAGAGGAGGTGCGCCTCGCGTTATCGGCGACGGCTGCGCGTCAGCGAGGGCTAAATGCCTTTACCAACAGACACGGCTGCTATCGCGGCGGTGGCGTGTGGGAGGCTGCGCGCTGACGTGGTCCTGCGGCGGCCCGGGCGGGGCGGGGCAGAGCCAGGTTGCAATAAGGTGTGATCCAGGCGTGACGTACGGTCGGAGGAGCGTACGACTCGCCGCCCTCTCCGCGCCGAGGCTGCAGCGCGAAGGCGTCTATTGGCTGCCCTTGCCCAGGCAGGGGTGCAGTGTACAGGATACGGTTTAGGACTATTTGGAGCCGACGTTCAAAAGCCAGCTGCTGCTCACATGCACGTTTCCGACGACCTCACTCTGCATACGGCGTCGTCGTCGGCGCTCTCATGAGGGCACAGCCGCATTGCCAATGTCGTGGCTCTGTTTCGGGAAGAGGCGAAGTAGAAGAAACGGGCATTAGATGTAATGGAAAATACTTTTCTGTACTACACTAGCCTTCACATCAAACAAGATAGAACAACATATCACACGGGAAGTTTGGCTCTACATCGAGCGAAGTCTTTTTTGATACTCTGTCTTTACAAGGCTTGAAACATTGCTTTTAGCAAAATTATCATGAAACAGGTGCCGCCAAATTGTTGGTCATAAAGTCCTATAATTTAACACTAGAGTCTTCATATAGTCACACGAAACAGCTCACAGCTGGCACAGCTCGTTTTCTAAATACAAATTTGCCAAATAGGGTATATTGCGGTCACATGAAAATCAGACTAGTTTACATCACCGGGAATACATATAAAAAGAGTTTGGCACTAACTTCTGGAGCAGGTGACCGTGTCACTACTACCAAGTATTACAAATATATTTTTCACAAAAAAATAAATTATTACATTATTATTGACCTTATTTACCAAAATAAAGCAGTATAAAATGCCGAGACTAGCCAGTTCAGTTTCCAACAGCAGGCCTAGAGAGATGAGTCGAATTATCCTGTCCCGTTACCGCACATAAACCGCAGTTTCATCTTCTCACTTGTTAGTGGTGACACGGCGGGACACAGCCACAGAGACATGTAACGGCACCATCAGCGTCACTCTTCCTTCCGCTCACAACACAGCACTCACTCACACCTCCACGCTCTCCTTCACTATCACCTATATCACTGTTTGCAAGTAGTAGAAAAGATCACAAAATCACTTTGGAGCTGATCGCCGCTCCGGGGCGAGTCTGGGGGACCGTCCCGCGAGACGAGGCGGGCGCAAAACACAGTGTTTATAATCACTATAGCCCGACAAGTTCGCGTCTCGGGGCGGCCGGGTCACTAGTAATTCACTCAAGAAAAGGCGATAAAAAAGTAGAGAAAAAAACCAACGACGTCTTTAGACGGCTGTTTTTCTTTGCATGTCTTGTTTTTTTCCTTTTTGAACACTCTTGCAAAACAATGCTTCGGCGTCTCGTTGTCCGTCAGGATATGTTGTTGTCAGCCGCACGTCGTCGTCCAGGTGTCGGCCCGGCACCGACCTGGTTTCTGGGCTGCCGCCCGCGGGAGGCGGGGCCCTCCAGGTTTGGGCGGCCGTCAGTGTCAGCCGCGGGTGCGGGCGCGGACTCCCTAGTCGGCTCCAGCCGCGTCCAGTCGCGTCCAGCACGTCTGCAACATCCAACGGACGCACCCTCCATCACGCAACCGATAATTACGACTATACGCTCAAATCGGGACCCTGCTGCTGCGGTTTTCTTTTTCCAGTCGGTTGAGCCAGTTACAGATCCCGTGCCGCGCTCCTCCCCCTCCCGCACTTATGTGCTATACAGAGTTCGAACAACCGTTCCCCTCCCTCCCCCTCGTCACTCCCCCGCCCATATAGACCGGATGTGGAATGCCAGTGGACCTCGTGTGCCGGCTGCTGCTGCTGGTCATGGAACTTGATCCCTGAGGCGATTCGCGAGGCTGTGGGCTGTACTAGGTGGGGCGAACCCCCCTCCCCCTCCCCCCTGATTGAATTGAATGCAGCCCCTCTAACCAGCTGCCATGGGCTGCCACGGGGGCCTGGCTGTCACAGGAGCAGCCGGGCCCCGCAGCTGCCCGTTAACTGAACCGGGCGGGCCCGGGCGGGCAGTGCGCGGCAAGTGGACGGCGCGGCCCCTCCCCGTCTCTCTCTCGCGTTCTGTCTCTATGCCCTGCCCCTCCCCCCCTTCTCCACTGTCTATCCCTAGCTTCCTCATTATTGGCAGTGCATGGCCCGGGGAAAGTGCCCAAGGCGGGGGAAACGAGGGCACCGCGGAGCGCCGCGCGGGACGGCAACGGCGGCGTCGGTCTGCGCGCTCCTACCTGGATAGATCGTCGAGGGCGTTCTCCGGCGCTCCTGCAGCTCGCTCATCCCGGTGCGGGCCCGAGGGCGGCGGGAGCCGCGGCCGCAGGAGCCGCCGCCACCACCACCACCTCGTTGCACTCGTCGGCGGTGGGCGGCGCGGGCGTCGTATACTCCCCCACGGGGGTCCCCACCAAGCCCGCCAGCGCCACATGGCCGCCGTGGCTGCCCAGGAGGTTGTGGTGCGCGCCGGCACCGCAGGCGCAGCCGGCGCCGCTGCTCGTGTGGGTGGTCATCTCGAACTTGTCGGAGCCCGTGGCGGAGCCGGCCGCCCGCGAGGCGTCTCGCCAACCCCCTGCAACGCGACAGAACAGTGTCAAGGCGTGGCGGTCCCGTGGCGCCCCCTCGAGATGATGGGTGGCCCGTCGACGGGGCGTTGTAGCACTCAGCCCGAGCTGTCCTCACCGACGGCGAACATGGAGTCGAGCGCCTGCGCCGAGCAGAGCGGCGTGTCGACCTCCCGCGTCTTGTTGAACAGCGAGTAGTCCACCTCGTACTCGCCCTGCTCCTTCTTGAAGGACACCATGGGCTCGAAGCGGTGGCCCCACAGGATCTCGTTCGGCAGGTAGGACGACCGGGCCTGCGTCGTCATACCCGTCGACTCGATGACACCTGCAAACGGAGACGATTGTAGGGAGAGGGAAGCAAAAAGGAACGACCTCCCTGAGGCCGGCCACTTAGGGCGGCGGCCTGGTCCTGGTCCTGCTGGAGCTACCCACCCAGTCTTCCACTCACTCCAGGAGACACAACTCACCACCTCGCGCGGCAGCGGTGTTGTTGGGAAGATTCCAGTGCCAAGGTAAGCGGATAAACAGAGACGGCACGGGTTGTACACTCGTCGCCAAAAGCTCAAGTCATGTCGCTTCCGACAAGGCCGGACAGAGCGTATCGTCTACTTACCCTCGAGGATGACGACGATCTCGAAGCGCTCCCGCAGCATGTCCGCCGCCGACATGGCGTAGAGGGGGGACTCGTGCGTGATCTTGTGCACGATGGTCGTGGGCCAGATGAAGAAGATCTTGTCCTCCTCGCCGTCGCCGCCAACCTGTAGCTCCTGCTGGTGGTACGGTAGCACCTCACCCTCCCGCGTCGTCTGCGGGGACACAAAACAGAGGACAAACGTCAAACAAGGCTTCTGTCATCGGCATCCCCCTGCTGGGGGAGGCAGATGGGGATGTCAAAACTGACCGGAAGTGGCGACGTCCTCGCAGCCCCCAGCCTTACCTTCCGGCGGATGAGCTGCGCGCGCACGTGCGCCTCGATGATGTGCGACTTGCGCATGTCGCCCACCCGGAACATGAGGCAGGGCTGGCCGTCGCGCTGTGCCACCACGGCGTGCCTCGAGAAGAGCAGCGTCTGGGTGCGCTTCTTAGGCCGCGACAGCTTGGCGAACACGATGCCCACCTGCGGGGAGGACGAGAAGAGCAGAGTCAGGACCTCGGACAGGACACGCCGAACAGGGACGCCCCGCCGCGGCGTGGACCCGCGCCAGCGGCCCTGCGGGGGGCCCTGTCCTGTCGTCGCCCTGGTCGAGCTCACCATGAAGGCCTGGATCATGACGCCGCAGATGCTCTGCAGGCACATGATGAAGATGGCCTCCGGGCACTCCTCGGTGGTGGAGCGGCCGCCGTAGCCGATCGTGTGCTGCGTCTCGACGGAGAACAGGAAGCACGACGCGAACCCGTTGATCCCCGTGACGCAGGGCGTCCACTGGGTGTCCTGGCCCTGGCAAAGCATCAGAGCAGAGCAGTGTGAGGAGCGGCGTGCCGGCAGGGCGGCCGCGAGCGCCGCCCGAGCGCCGCGAGGGTAGGCATCCCAACGGGCGGGCCCGACGCGCGGGTCACGTTGCGGTGCTCACCGGCAGGTTCTCTGGTCTGAGGTCTCCGTGGGTGAGCATGATGAGCCACCAGATGACTGCGAAGCCGAGCCAGGACAGGAGGAAGTTGAGGGCGAACACGAGCAGCGTCCAGCGCCACTTGGCGTCCACCAGGGTGGTGAAGATGTCCTGCAGGTAGCGGCGCCTCCGCTTGGCCACGTTGCTCTGCACCACGTTCACGTCGCCGTGCTTGAAAATGACGCGCTTGCGGGCCTTCCGCGAGCTGCCCCGGGTGCTGTTGTACCTGCGAGACAGAGGAGAAGGTGCACTGTCAGTCGAACGTCACCGCACTGGGGCCTTTGGTTTACTGCGAGACTTGCCGGGTTGCTTTTAGAGGGGATGGATTCCGGTGATTTCGCGATGGATTTTCTGCGTTGGTGTTGGGGCGCCATAGTCAAAGACATTTTTTTGGAAAATTTAGTTAGGGTTAGAAGGTTTTAGCATGGTTTGAGGTTCTCCACACGTGCCGCCAGCGACAGGCATCCCTCGGGCTGGGGCTGGGGGCCCGCGGGTGGGGCGCGCTCTCAGACAAGGACGGGCCATCGCTCAAACGGCTTGGCTCGGCCGGGGGAAGGAGATGGCTGGGGCCGGGGAGTGGTGGTGCGCTGGTGACAACGGCCACGGGGGAGATCAGGGAAGGATCCCACGGCGAGGGGAGCCGACGATGATGGTATCGGCAGCCCAGGCTGGGCATGGCCGGCAGGGCTGGGAGTGCAGCAGCCGAGTCACTTTCCCTCCACGAGACGAGACACACACTGCACATGCATGCGCGGGCGCGGGGGCCACCTTCGGGTCGGACTGTCCCGGGCAAGGTGCCACATCACCGTGAGCGACACGACAGGTCGAGTGCGCTCTGGCTCAGAGCGGGATGCGTGTCTCTCCTCCGCCGGCGCGCAGAGAGGGGCACATCATTTAGCAGTATTAGTCTGTGGTTTCTGTTTTGGTTGTTGTTGCTTTGCTGCTGACGCCGCCGCCGCCGCTGCGGTCTTATGGTAGTTGGTTATTTACGTACAATTTCCTACAACCTTTCCAACCTGTCGACGATCGGCGAGAAGAGCAGCACCGTCGTTCTCGCGAGCAGCTGGTAGGTGGCACCGCCTGCTTGTGGGGTCGGTGTCACGGGTTCGATCCCCACCTCCAGCTCCGCCTCGAGTTGCGCCAGTTCGGCTTTGCTGGGCCTCCGCCTGGAGTGGCCGTGGTGCCCGTGGTGCCCGTGCCCGTGGCCGGGACCGCCCCCGCTGCCACCATTGCAAGCACTGCTAGGAGCAGATTTATGGATGAGTTTTAGCGCCTCCTTGTCGTTGTCGCGCGTGCGCGGTCCCAGCCAGAAATCCATGATCGACGGAAAAGCCGTTCCGACGTCGGAATTGTTTTATACATTTCTGGCTGAGAGGGGTGTGTGCCGTGTCTGTGGTGCTGCCCACGTGGAGGAGTGTCACGGCTGGCCTCGCGGGTGAGCGTGAGCAACGTGCAACGCTTCGCCCTGGGACGGCATCTGCAGAAGCTCGCGGCGGGCGCGGCCCAACCCGGATGACCGCGGCGGCCTCTGCTCGCAGGCTCGCAGGGTTCATCTACCCTCCCTCCGTGTACGTTAGCCATTCGTCGCTATTCTTCATTTTGTTTCCTTGCGGTAATTTTCCCACCCGTCAAAAAATCGATGTTTCCGGATGTTTCCTTATTGGAAATATTGAACTAGAGATACGTTGATTCGATTGCCAACGGCGCGGTGGACGCGACGCCGAGCAACTCGGACTACAATCATCACTGCAGAGGTGCGACCGAATATGGACGATTTGGGCTACCTCTGGATAAGAAGAAATCAGGAAGAAAATGCGACAAGCATCATGGCCGCCCAATATTGTCGCCAATGGGAGAGGTAGGGCTAGCAGACACGATGCTTGTAGATTTCTTCCTGACTTCTTCTCATCCAGAGGTAGCCCAAATCGTCTATGGAGCCGAACCAGCCGAACCGAGTGCGGCCAGTGCGGGCAGTGCGGCCCGTGCCCGCCGGCGAGGCGCGGCGGCGGCGCTCTACTCGCAGCGCGTGGCACGGCCGTGCCCAACTGATTAATCGCCCCTCACTCGACCGATCCGCGGTCAATCAACGTGCTAATGCCGCGGGAGCAGAGAATATACCTCCGGAGAATAAATAACAAAAACAACATTCCAGACCGATATTGCTTGTTACACAACGAAATCAGTGGCCGATATTGACTGCTGCTCGCTGCTGCTCCTATAGGTCTGCCGCGAAAGTTAAGGGAAGAGAAAAATTCAAAAGAGAGCGGGAAATGTTGGCAGCTTAATGCATGTTTCTCTTATTTTTATTGTTTATCCTTACATTAATTTAAGTAAGATTTTTCTTTTTCTTAGTTTCAGAAAAAATCCTAAAGTTTTTGAGGGTAGGCGCGTGTGGCGGTGTGAAGTTTAAGGGCGGGTATGGGCCCGAGACGGGCAGGTCAGTGCTCAGGTTGGCAGCCCTGCGGTATTTTAAATAAAGTGGCGGCGTCGGGACGCCTGGCGACGCCTCCAAGCAAAACAAAAAGGCCCGCCAGTCCGCGCTAGCCGCGCCGCCGCCGCCGCCGAGTCCGAGGGCCCTTCACGCGCCGACTGCCACGCCGTTTGGATAGATTAATTTACAATTCGCCAAACCGTCGTGATCTCTGCTGAACTCTTGGTCGATTCCCACGATCCTCACTCGCTAAGAAGCAGCCCCGCACTTTTTGCAAAGGATTCCGTAAATTCGAAGCGTCGGGACTTATGATGTATTTTTAAACGTGCGAAAACACCGCCAATTTGCTACGCCCTCCTAGCCGCTGCCGCCGGCGCCGGCTAGCTCCCCCCCACACACCTATCCGTCCCATTAGGCGTCGCAGTGGCAACAAGCTCACGACACTTTGTTCCTGAAAATCTGAGGGAAGGGGAGGGGTGGGGAGGGGGGTCTTGTTGTGACCGCGCGCATTAGTCTCGTCTCGTGGTGGGGCGTGGCGGGGCGCAGCAGTGCAGCAGCCAGATGACCCAGTGTGACGCCACCCGAGCACGCCCCGGGCCCCGCCGCACACAGCACTGGAAACGCAGATTTACACTCGCCCAGCCCACTTCCCGAAACAGTTTCGTTATTTCTGTCACACCCCCGCCCCGCCCCTCTCTCTCCCTCTCCCTCTCTCTCTCTGCCTGTCTTTCGCGCGACCGAGAGACAATCACTCGGAATAGAGTTCGCAAAGGCTCCGCTTGACATGGCTCTACCTCCCTCACTGCTCTAGCCCCTGACCTCGCACGGATAGGCCACCAGCGCAACTAACGTGTTGTTGCCTATCCTCCAGGCGCTTCACCTGCTCATTTTATTCGAAACCATTTTTTCCTCTATATTCTAATGAAAGTTAAATACATTTACAAAACGGGTTGGGATTTTTCTTTTGAATGATTCAGTAGAGCTCACCAACAAAAAAAGTTGAACTAAATGCACCCCCCAAAACTGTGTTTTTGGAACAACTAAATTGTACTTGATCCCTGATTTTTCAACTGCATATGTCTTGATTCAAGTGATATGTACCTGGTCAAGTTCAAGGATCAAGTTCAAGCAATCAGCTTTTTGCTTCCCCTCCCCGTACGAAAAAGTTTAGTCCGGCATCAGTTCGTTTTCGGTCCGGAAAGAGTCCGC